TAATACTGAATTAATAAAATGTTATAATGAAATGACTATTTAGGCCTAAGATTTAAGACTTTGATTTCTTATTAAAACCCACAAATCCAACATGAGATCAAACTTACACCCCAAAAATACTCTCAAATTAACTTTAGAGGTGTGATATCCACACACCCCTTTTTACTTTCTCACACCCTTTTAACTTTCGGTCGTCGGATAAGATGAATTGAAGAAGATCAAATGACAGAAATTAATAAGAGGTGTGAGAGAAGTAAAAAGGGGTGTGTGGATAGCACATCCCTTAATTTTACTCTCAGGCTTTTTTTTTTTTAACTGTAACTGATTCACAGTTTGACACGAAACATTAAACTTGGTGCTAGGATTACCAATTACTACCATGTAAATATTAACAATAGAAAGTTTGATCGGGTAAATGTTTTGCCACATTCACTGCAAAATATATGCTCATTAGAGAAATATAATATATATTAATGCCAGATATATAGGGCTAGACTTTTCCCAGGACTTTTACTCTTATATATGAATGATCATAGATATGTACTTATATCCACTACCAGAGTTTTGAAGCAGAGTCGTGGAAGCAAGGGTTGTGGCAGTTCTGCAGGTTGCGGCGTCGTAGAGAAAAATTTTGTGTTTTTTATTTTTCATATATATGTGGAGTGGAGTATGAGGGTATTTTAGGAAGTTAATATGGGTGTATTAAGACAATTTTTCTTTTAAAAAGTAAGTGTGGGGTGTGTTTAGTACATGGGGTTTAGCTAACAATTTGTGAGGTGCTAATAAAACAACTCTATTGGGTTCGACAAAAAAAATAAAACAACCCTATTGGGAAAGTCGAACTCGAGACTTAAAACGTACAATTGATGCTCTTAACTAACTGAATTACAAATATTTTGCAAGAATATTGATTTTAAAACTGAAAAAACAAAAAAAGAGGTTTTGGTTAGAGCAATAGCGTTATAAATAGGTTGAATAGTTAGTTGTTAGGGAGAAAAAAAAAATCAGTAGGAATAAAACTCGCACCAAAATGCATAAACACGATTAATTTCCGCCACACCGGTAAAGCATTATGATCTATATGCGAACAAATGTTTAATTTATAGCCACATGTATGGTTATGTTTCTTTTAGGCAAAGGGACAAGTGATGTGAGTTAAGCTACTAAAAATGTCCCTATCGTGTGTATCATAATTTTTCAGCGTAAGTTAGGTTGCCATAGGAACATGGCATTGCCTCTCAATTTTACGAAAGGTTGGTTTACAAATTCACTTTGTACTTTTACACATTCACACCCTACAGTAATATTTCAACTAAATAATCATGAACTGTGAACATACCTTTGATTCTTCTTGGAAAAACATTTCATACACTTACTTACAAACTTTTTTTATTTGAGTGATATTCGAATCTAATTTAAACTACATGACAAGAAACAAGAACTTGGGTTAGGGACACATTTCTAGGGGTCGCTTTTGGTTTTTTTTGTTTAGGGGTTGCTTTCGGTTTTTTTTTTTTTTTAACCCTACATAGTTCCATAGTCAAATATAGAATGAGAAAATTAGCGTATGCACTCAATTTTCATACATTTCCAAACACCTAATAACACGTCTTTCAGTCTCGTCTAATAAGAATAAACATGAAAGTTTCATTTCCACGGAGTTGTTTCACAAACTAAATGACCCCTTGTCGCATCTTTGTTTTTCAAGAATTGAGGAAAGTAAAATACCAAAATCAAGGAACTTAAGCATAGGAGAATAAGAAATAAGAACCAAATCAACTAAAGTTGTTTGATTACGGATTTTAAGACGAGATCAACTAAAATGACCTCTTGGTTCTGAAGCTGTTTGATCACGGATTTTAAGACGAGATCCACATTGCATGTAACTAAACAATAAGGGTATAATTGGGTTTTCACTCTTTACCTTCCACTTAATTTGAGTCCAAAAAAAAAAGGTAAGACCATTGAAACGGGATACTACACTATCACTAACACTTTTCCATAAACCGCCACAAAATTATCATAATTTCCTATAAAGTTCCTCCCACGCTGTATTTATTACAGAAAGCGAAACAGAGGAGGAGGAGGAGGAGGAGGAGGAAGAAGAAGAAAGATGAAGCATTTGGGTGTCATGTTCTTGGGGGCTCTGCTGTTCATCTTCCAGAACCATGGAGTTTTAGCGGAAGAAGGGTTTATGAAAACCAGAGGAGTGCAGCTTCTGCTGAACGGAGTTCCGTACTATGGACACGGCTTCAATGCCTACTGGTTGATGTACATGGGGACCGACCCTTCTGAGAGGGTGAAAGTTTCGTCTGCCCTCCGAGAGGCGAAGGAACATGGGCTCACAATTGCAAGGACTTGGGCCTTCGCCGATGGCGGATACAGAGCTCTGCAGACCTCTCCGGGGTCGTACGACGAGAAAACTTTTCGGGTAAGTGCATTTGCTGGAACCGCTTTTATTAGAAGCACGTCACTCCAAAGTGGTATTGGGATCACTCCCAAGATAATCCATAAACGCTTTAGTTTTGTTTCAAGCCATTCCCAGAAGCACTTTTGCTCCTTCGCGTTTTTATTAATTCTGGTATTAGAGATTGTTTGGGACTGCCTTTGTCGGAAACACTTTTGCTCCTACGTGTTTTTATTAGAAGCACGTTCAAAAATGTAGTAATTGAAAAAACACTCGAAAGTACTTTCTGAATAATCATTTGACTAGTGCTTGCCCATAAAAGTATTTTTACGATCCATAAGCATTTTGCCATTTACTACGAAGTGTTTTTTATTGGCAGAAAACGCTTTTAGCTCTTCCAGAAATAATTTATAGTTTTAATTTTGGTGTGATTGTTTTTTTTTTGTTTGGTTTTTGGGGTTGGAAGGGGTTGGATTTTGTGATATCTGAGGCAAAGAAGAGTGGGATCAAGGTGATACTGAGTTTGGTGAACAACTATGAGAACTATGGAGGCAAGAAACAGTATGTGGAATGGGCTAGAAGCCAAGGCCAATCTCTATCTTCTGAAGATGATTTCTATACCAACTCTCGCGTGAAGGGATTTTACAAAAATCATATCAAGGTAAATCATTTTTCTTAATTTGTTTTAATTTCTCAGTATACTATAAGCGCTTTTGGTAAAAGCAATGTTGGGTTGATAGAAGTTAAGTTAAGATAAGATTTATTGGTATTATTTGGTTGGTTTTCATCGTCTAGTATCATTACTTTGAAAGTGAGAAATATTTCACATTAACTTTTACCAATTTGCAAAAGGGTAGATAATAGTTTTCCGCATACATGAGTTCGGCCAAGTTGGTCAAGACAGTGTACCGGTTTTCTCCTTTTTGTCTCGAAACTACATTAAGGAGAGGGGAAGAGTTTAAACTTAAAATGCAATAAACGTAGTTAGTTGAAAAAACACTCTATTAATCAGGACAATCCACTACCTATTCGCGGCCCTCCTTGTAGATGGTCTTTGTCAGAAAGATAAAAAGTTTTTAAAATTGTGTCGTTGGTTGAAATTAGGTCATGTCACGTTTGTTCTAAATAATAATATATTGATATGGAGGTTTTGTGATCTTTTGTATATATAGACTGTTCTTACGAGGATCAACACTCTGACTGGAGTTGCTTACAAAGATGAACCAACCATAATGGCTTGGGAGCTTATGAATGAGCCAAGATGCACTTCAGATCCATCTGGAAAAACCATTCAGGTCTGCCAAACCTTCTCTTTTTTTTTTTCTTTTTTTTTTCTCTCACGTACCGAAGCGATCGGTTTGTAGACCTGAGGATCTGCATTCGACTCTCTCTTTTCCTGGTATCGGAAAAAAGTTTATCTCTATAAATCTATTCAAGCTCAGTTTGTTAAGAGCAAGTCATGCACATTTGGTTTAAAAATTGATGTCTAAAAACTTGTATTATGGTGCGCCCCGCTTTCATTTGTTCAGCTAGTCTCTCTAGTATTTTGGCTAAATTGAAGGCGAGCGAGAAATTGAGTGTGTGAAAAATCACTACTGTGACTTTTTACGGCTAGAACTACTGGGGTATCTAATCCCATTTGTTCCACTAGCTTTCGTCTCTCAGTGTCAGTGTCGGCCCAACAGAGTGCTTTCGCCATTGGTGGGGAAAATGATTGACCTTTGTATTTGCTTGACAGGCTTGGATAACGGAAATGGCGTCATACTTGAAATCCATAGATGGAAATCATTTGCTAGAAGTTGGCCTTGAAGGGTTTTATGGATCATCAAATCCGAAAAAAAATCCGAATAACTATCAAATTGGAACTGATTTCATTGCGAATAATCAGATCCGTGACATTGACTTTGCCACTGTCCACGCATATCCCGATCAATGGTAAAGATTCATAAAATGTGTCGCTATTTTTTTGTTTGATACAACGATATTCTACCTTAAAGAGAGAAAATGTCGTTACTTTGTTTTTTTTGAACGATGAGCAGGTTAACCGGAGCAGGTTACGAAGATCAAGTCTCTTTTTTGAACAGTTGGGTCAGTGGTCACATCCAGGATGCACAAAACATTCTGAAGAAGCCAGTTCTGTTTGCGGAGTTTGGAAGGTCTTTGAAAGAGTCGGGTTATACCACAAGCCAGCGTGACCGGATTTTCACTATAGTCTACTCGGGTATCTACTCGTCGGCTAGGGGTGGAGGTGCTGCCGTTGGCGGCTTATTCTGGCAACTTCTGGCCGAAGAAATGGACAATTTCCAAGACGGGTATGGGATTGTGTTGAGCGAGAGCTCCTCGACAGTTGGTTTGATTGCCGAGGAGTCTCGGAAGCTTAATGAGATTCGGAAGATGTATGCCAGGTTGAAAAACATCGAGAAGTGGAAGCGAGCGAGGGAAGTTCGAAGGGATCGGTTCTGGTCTGGGAACAAGGCCAATGGTACAGAAAACTGAATGAAGGTTGATGTTTTAAATCTATGTATGTATGTTCATCCAAGAGAGCACGATTATAATCTGTTATAGCAACGATCACAACGTAGTTCGTAAGATATAAACGAAAGATAGAGCTTTATTGATCTTATTAAGTAACTAGTATGTTTGGTAAAGTACATCAAAGAAACTTGTTCATTTACAGAAGCAAGCATTTCCAGCTACTACATCAAGTTAAAGCTACAGACGAACCTTGTCAAGGTGCCATTAACCGTGGCTCGATCTGAACTAGTAGCTCACAGTCGAATTGATAGATTTAGATGAGAGTTCCATCTTTAATCGTTGCATTCTTCAATACGACTGATTCCCGACCTTTAGTAAAATCCTTTGTCTGCCCCGTCTGCTCTTCAATTCCCTGAGAAGTCAAAGCAATTTGTTCATCAATGTTGAAATCAGAAATAATGCAATGGTGATCTGTTTTCGATTCCTTTCAAGTTTCGAGGAGTGTACTAAGATCGCCATTTGTGATAAGATCTTTTCGGCTCCTCATAACTTCACTATCATATTCCTAGCAATAAGAAGGAGCGATTTACTTGGAAAGAGAGACTTCTCCTCATTGCTGCAGAAAATAAAACCCGGAGAGGGAAACTAGGAAGCCGGAATGCTAGAATTTGCTTCCGTTGCTGCAAATTCTCTCAAGACCATATCCACCTCTTCTACAACCCCTAGTTTCCTAAACCATCCAGCCAGTGTTTCAGCAGCTTCTTTCCCAACCATGATACCATCTCTCTCCAACGCTATCAGAAATTTTAATGCCTTTTGAAGCTTATTCTCCTTTTCGTAAGCAGCCAACACTAGAGCTATACATTTATCAGTTGGCTTAAGACCAGCCGTCCTCATGTTTCGAACGCAACACGCGCCTTTTGACTTTCACCCAATACACCATATGCATTTATGAGAAGTCCGCATAGCTTAGCGTCTGGAGAAATACCAGCTAGCTGAACTGCATTGAACACCCTTTGAGCTCCTTCAGTATCACCAACCATTGAGTATGCTCTTAACAATGCCTTGTAAACTTCACTTCCAGCATAAACCTCTCGAACATCCATTTCTGTGAGCAAACTCTCTCCCTGATCAGGCTTTCCAGCTCTAATGTACGCCATAATCATTGAGCCATACGATCTTTTATCCAACGGCTGTCCAAGGAGCCTAAGTTCTTCAAAAGTTTCTTCAGCTAGCTTAAGATTTCCGGCCTTGCTATACATGTCAATCATGGCAGTTAGAGTTACCTGATCACATATGAAGCCTCTAGTCTTCATGTTCGAAAGGGTTTTTACAGCATCCTCAACTCGGTTTTGTTTCCCATAACCATGAATTATTTTGGTATAGTCACGAATGTTGGCTTCAAAAGATTCTTCTAGTAAAGCAATTTGCCACCTACAAACAGTTCAGTAAGCAGATTTTCAAAAATACGACATTTGTAAGTGAACTTGTTGAAGACGATAAAATATACAGTGGAGAGTGCGAGAATCTCATAACATGCAGATCAAAAATGAACAAATTGGAGTTCCAAAAACATATAAAAGTTGGAAGAGGATTAGAACTTGAAAGAGATGGAACATGACAGCTCCATCCCTAGCACTTCAAATTCGAAAACAGGGAAACCTAAGCCAGGTATTCAAACAAGAACTTACCAATGATGCTAAAGGGGGTTCAACAGCAAGAAATCATCTTGCTCAATGAGTTTGGACCACTTGAATTGAGAAAACAAGTTTCAGTCACAACTGACAATTTTAGATTATCAATAACTTATTCTTATTTCCCCCATTCAAGATTTCTTAATCATCATTTCTTATTACCCATCATGCCACGCTTAAGTACCATGACCACCTAAGAGTCCTTATCTCCCCTAATTGAGAACAAAACATGATTAGGCAGCACCAGAAATGGCCATTCACACTCGATACGTAATTGCTACTTGAAATTGTTTTTATCAAGAACTCAGATGGGTATTCAGTTTCAACACAATACACACCTTGGTCTATCAATAGCACGAACAATCTCATCATAGCTGGCTAAGGTGATCCAAAAATCATCTACCTCTCCCTCCCTAAGACACACACACACACACACACACAGAAGAACACACAAACTTCCTTTCAAGAATCCTCTGATTTCTTCAAATTCAAAAGACCCCAAGAATTCACATCCACAAAAACACTAAAAATAGTAAATACAAGACAAAAGCAAATGATAAAACTTGAAAAGCATTGAACTTTAGAAAATTAAAAATAAACCCAGTAAAACAAAGTTGCCTGAAGGTTGTAGAACTCAAAGTACTAAACTTTAAAACTAATTCACGATAAAGCCAGTAAAAAGCAAATACCTGAAGATAAATGGGGTGATCCTTTACCCTCAATTCTTTAAGAACAGCAAGCCAGTCAGCTCTGCAAGGCTTCATAATCCTACCCCAATCAGCCAACAACTCGCACAAACTACCCTTTTCAGGAGAAAAGCAAATGAGCTGCCTCATCAAAGCCTTACACCGCTTGCTCATATTTTGTGGCAGTTGTTCAATAGCTTCTTTCTGAGCTTCTGTAATCTCAGGACTCACCACATCCAGCCTAATCCGCGACTTCCCTTCTTTGATCTCAGTCTTCGCCGTCTCCTCCACGCTTGCCGCCGCCAAGGGCCGCTGGAAACGACGGTTGTGGGTGACAAGGCTCATTGGGATTGCCCACAAAGAGTTGCCCGTGAATCTGTGGCAATGGGTTTTCTTCGATTCGTTGGTCATTGGGTTTGCTTGGTGGGGATAGGGATAGCAGAAAACGTTGGAAGCATGGGCCCCCGTGAAGAAAACTTGACCAGCTGCCATTGAAACGAAGATGAAGGGAAAATTTGAATTGGATTAGAGAGAGTAAGGATTAGGCGCTGTTAATATTGCATATTTGGAATGGATGGAAGCACAAACAAGATTCAGTAGCTGAGACTGAGTGACTGAGTTTCGGCGGCTGCGGAATCTATCAGAGGCTGCCAACAGATGCTAAAAAAAAAAAAAAAAAAAAAAAAAGCTCTCATGAAAAAAGCGTGATGGTTTTAGGTGTTTGGTAAACTGAAAAAAATTGTTTATTTTGGAAGCTGCTGTGAGAATAAGCTGAAATCAAAGGAAAAAGCTAAAGCTACTATTTGCAGCTTTGGAAAACTGGTTTTTTTTCAAAGTACAAGGAGCTACAGTGTTCCTTTAATAAAAAGACCCACTATCAGACCGTTTTTTTTTTCCAAAAGCACTTTTACAAAAAAGCTTACCAAATACTCTGCTGATTTATTTCACAGCCACTTATTCTCACAGCACAGCCATTTATTCTCACAGCAGCTTTTTTTCAAATCACAGCAATACCAAACCAACCCGAAGTTCCCGGGCTTGTTTGGCGGGTTGGGCTCCCTGCCCATTGTAAAGAGAGGGCGTTATCTTCTACAACTTTTTTTTTTTTTTGGCTTTTTAGCCACAATGATTTTGGCAGAACTTTTCTCCATGATCTCCGACATTTAAAATCGATAAAAATGAACTTTAAGTTTGTTCACTATTAATCATTTTGATTATTTCGTAAAAAATCTTCATCAAATAAGATAAAATGACAAAAATACCCTCACTTGTCAAATCATTGTAGCCTACGGTTTGTTAAATTGATTGTGTTTTGTTCATTTTGGTTCTTATTTAACAAAGATATTTCCTAGAATAACCAAAATAATTGACAGTGTACAAATTCAGAGATCATTTCTATCGATTTCAAATCTCAATGACCAAAACAAGGAGTTATGCTAATCCCAAAGACCATTTTTTAATACATGAAGGGGTGATAGGAAAGAGTTTAATTCGAAATCCCTTTGAAAAGCAATACAAACACGACACGAAATGACCGACCTTGTTGGCGTACATGTGTGGTGGCAAGTTGGCAACACCGCGTGACAGTGTCGTCAAAAAACAAATATTCGTGAGATATAAACGAAAGAAAGAGCTTCATTGATCTTATCAAGTAACTAGAATGTTTTGTTACATACATCAAGGAAACATGTTAATTTACAGAAGCAAGCCTTTTTCAGCTACCACATCAAGTTAAAGCCACAGACAAACTTCATCAAGGTACCGTTCACCGTGGCTCGATCGGAACAAGTACCTCGCAGTCGAACTGATAGATTTAGATGACAGTTCCATCTTTAATCGTTGCATTCTTCAATACGACTGTGATCCCTGACCTTATGTAAAATCCTTCGTCCGCCCTCTCTGCTTCTTCAACTCCCTGAGAAGTCGAAGCAATTTGTTCATCAATGTCGAAATCAGAAATAGTGCAATGATGATCAGATCTTTTCGAGTCCTATCAAGTTTCGAAAGTACTTACATCGCCATTTGTGATCACCACATTTCTTCCTATCTTGGCGTTCTTGTCGATTATGCAATTCCTTCAAGAGATATGGCACGAAAGATGAGTATAAACGAGCGAGAATTCTATTCAGAACTAAACAGAAATCTGTAACTAATGGTATTTCACCAGATTTTGGTATTTTCTCCGACACCAACTGGAACCTTTCCTTGAGCTAGCAGAGATGCAATCTCAGATTCCGTTTGGTAGTAGTCTGCACCCATCATCATAGTATCCTGAACATCGATTTAAAATAACCAAATGTAGTCAGCGCTCATAATACCAGCATGCTTACGTTTGCAAGCGAATTCTAACTGCCGCTTGAAATATATAACATAACAATGAGTTTAAGATTGACATATTGGAATCCGGTAGCCTGTTGTTACCAATGTGTAGAAAGGGCAGCTCACCTTAAGTTCTACACCGGACTCTAGACGCGAGCGTACACCTACAATGGAATGTTGAACGCTACACTCTCGCAAGAAGCAACCATGAGAAATAATTGCATCCATAATCTGCAAAATTCACTTTGTAATGAGATCAGAAATGTATAGCCAATATCGCATAGTAATTTAAGCTCGCTATCATACCCTGCATTCTTCAACTTTTGTAGGTGGCAAGAATCTAGGAGAGGTGTAAAAGGGTGTCTTTGGATCATTGAATTCAAACTTCGGAGGCTGCACAAAAGAATGTAATCAGTAACTGTTCCCACATATGCACGTAGGGAAGAAAAATCCAATCGAAGAGTAGGAACGAATCAGTGCAGGTATTACGAACCTGTTCTGTGAGGGCCAAGTTTGCATCAAAGAAAGACTTTACAGTTCCAATATCCTCCCAGTAGTCATTGAATAGGTATGCCTAATCATTTACGAGCATTCCGTAACTCAGTCACTCAATTACCAAATCCAAACCAAATTTTGAGAGTTACTTATATTAATATTCAAAGATGAACTATTAAGAAAAAAAAGACAAAGATGAGATAAAACTTTTATCGAAAGACCTATCTCACCTGGACGTTGTGCTCCCTCACAGCTGATGGAATAATCTCGGAGCCAAAATCATTGCAAGAAGGATAGCTCCACCTTAATAGCTTTAGTAGGACATCAGTTCTGAACACATAAACACCCATCGATGCAATATAAGGAGAATTCATAGCCTCCAGATCAGAAAGCCCCAGAACAGTGGTGTCAACTTGCTGCATTGGATAAATAAGCCATAGACAAAAAATGAAATTAGGGGAAGGCTATGGCGCATCATCTGGAACGATAATAGAAGTACTTTGATTACAGTAAATCCAGTAAAACAAGGACTAAAGCACAAAAATACAATCAAAATAAGCAGCTTTAACTACCATTGCTTCTAGGTCAGCGCCTTTTGGTTTTTCAGCAAATTGGATTATACGCCCTGACTGGTCTATTTTCATGAGTCCGTAATCTGATGCCCGGCTGCAAGACAAATAAGATCCACGACAAAGACAAGCACCTGTCAGTCATATTTCCAAGGTGGAACAAAAGAAGCAGAGTTTATTTTGAACATATATCAATCTGCAAGGGACGGTTGAGTATTAGGAAACGAAAATGTACCTTTCATCCATGGGTATACATGAAACTGTAATGTCGGCATTTGTATCAATATGTTTCTGTAAGAATTACGGCCATTGGTATGAAGGATATTTGGATTTTTAGAAGGTTATAACTAAAATAAATTAAAATTTTCCACCAGCAAGTAATAAGCACCTGTATAAAGTCCAGATAGTCCATCCTGTATAGATGATCGCCGGATAATATCAGTATATGCTCAACATTTTTGTTCTTTGCATCCTGCACAGATCATACAAAAGATTTCAGTCTATTTCCACCTAATTCTCGATAAAGACTTGTAAAATCGAAAGCACCCACCTCGAAGACCCATATAAATTGCCTGACAGCATCAGCTGTTCCTTGGAACCATCTCTTCCCAGCGTCTCCTGGTGTTTGAGTGGCAGCCAAAACCTATTGCTCCCAAAAATTAGTCTTCAATTCATTAAATATTTTCTTCATTAATTGCAACGATCAAATGTGGTTCGACAGACAAATTCTAACACATTACCTCCACAAATCCATCTCCGAAATTCATACCATCCCCGAAATTATAAGTACGAGCAAGGTGACGATTGAGGGAAAACGAGTTATATTGCGTTAATATGAATATCTTTTTAATGCCACTGTTAATGCAATTGCTCATTGGGATATCAATCAGCCTGTAACACCCTCCAATCGGAACCTGCAAATCACATAACATTGCAAAGTTCAACACCAAATTCTATGTAAAGAAACCATTTTTCGATATGATCAACTGAAACGAAAGACAAACAAATACTGATCTCTTACCGCCGGCTTGGCTCTCTTGCTGGTGAGAGGAAAGAGGCGAGTTCCGGCACCTCCACCCAAAATTATAGAAGCCACATTTTTGGGGTCAGCCTTTTGAGTCTCAAACAGTGGTGCCTGAAACGTCTGAAATCAAAAGCACAAACGCCAAAAGTGATTACTAAAAAAAACACAAATAATCAAAATCCCAAGATTTCGGTTTCGAAAACAAGAACAACAGTTACACACACAGGATCAGGAAGACTTACCACAGTCTCTTTGTTGACATCGGTAAACATGGAGTAAGCCACACCAGGAGGCTTAAGCTTCCTACCTCTGCTTTCAAATTTAGAGCTTTTGAGAAACACGGCACTCAAATCTCTGCTCTTTGAACCCAACCTCACACTCTCCCCCAAGAACCCATTGGGCCTCAATGTCGCACAGCAGGAATCCATGCTTCACAGAAACGAAAAAGCACACAACTTTTCCAATATCCTGAATCAAATATTCTATGACCTAAATGGTTTTTTATGCAACAGCAAATAAAAGCACTTTTCAGAAAAGCCCTACAAACATGCACAGGATCAAAAACAGAAAATCACCAAAATACCAGATGCGAAATCAGGAATTCCCGGATCGGAAAATCGTAAAATTAGAAAGAATGAGAAGAACCCCAGATGCCAAAAGGATCAAAGCTTTAATGCAACTCCTCCTGGTCTAACGATGGCGTGACCAAAATGGGAGGTGATCGAAGTGAGCCAAAAATGGCAAGTGGAAGGAAGAGAGTGAATGCCGGGTTGGCGATGGAGGTGCTGTGGGTTTTGGGTGAGAGCGGAAAACTAAACTAAATCAAGGCTTAAATTAATGGAATTTAAGAGTGTGAACTAGTTGGCAACTGGAAATGGTGACTGAGAGAGATACCACTCTGATCGACTGTGTAGGTTTTCCAATTCTCTCGTGCTTTGAAACAGTCTTCCTGTACTTCATCTTATATCAGAGAAATTTTCAAATTTTAATTAAAATTAATAAATTTTTATCGATATTTTCGTCATATCAATTAAACATCAATAAATTATTATACAACATTCTCTAAAATTTAATTTTTGAGTAAATGTTTTAACATTTTCATCCATAGCAACTAAAATAGATATTGATGGTTTTGCAAATTTACATATCGATATTTTAAGTATTATGTACAAGTGAGGCTTACATAGAGCTATTATGTATGGCATAGTCATTAACTTCGATGGAAAATGATCCTCGCCTAATCTTTTTCTTGGAGATCTAGAGAATTCTGTAATCATATCCGTTCATCGTATATCGTGAGATTATAAATCATTTAAAATTAAATATAAACAATTCGTAACAAAAACTGATCACACAATATACGATGAAGAAACATGATTACGGAATCTTTGATTTCTCAGAAAAATAATCCAACGAGAATCATTTTCCAACTTCTGCAATTACTTTATAGTGACTTTATGGCGAGTCATCTTTGTATGTTGGCCGTTAGTGACACTCTCCCGCCACGTTTTCTCCTACTAGGAAAAAAAAACAAATCGAGGTGTATATAAATACAAATAAGAATATACTAATGTTTTAAGGATATTTAATTTTGAGTAGAGAGATATGGACCGTCCATATGTAGGTGTCGTGTAAAGTGCAGAATGCGACGCCGTTTGCAACGCAGGAAAAATAGACGCTGATATTTTGTGAGGCAGGGAACCAACTGAGCGGTGGCACCCACCACCTCCATGTGCTGTCATTTACTAACAGTATCACCATTTTCATCGAATAATTCGGATCTTTGAAATTTTATTACTCAAGTTATTATAATTTTTAAAATAAGCCTCTGTTTTTAGTCGTTACATCAAATTTTAATGGTCCATATTATTTGATAAGAAGGATTAGATGGAAGGGATCAGAAGATGTTCCCTTTCCCTAATAAGAGCAAGTCCAGTCCTACCCAATTTGACATGTAAATAGACAAAAAAAAATGTCAAAAATAAGAGAAAAATGGCCTAAGCGGCCCATCCCGTGACTTAAAATCGGGCAACTAAGCGGGTCCAAACCCGCACGACAGGTCCCTCAAGCTTAGGCTCGTTTAGTTACCCGACTTTAAGTCACATGTTGGAGATTTTTTTCTTTTACCTTGGTCAACTTTTTGCTTAATTACCCCGACAAACTAGGTAGAGCTGTACTTATTTTAAGAGCTCATCGTAGCCTAAAACATTCCCGTTATCTGTATGAGTCGCATCTAAAACTCATCGTCACACAATAATAATTGAGCGGGCAAGTTTGTACAAGGTAGATAGATCGACATGGAACAATATAGTATTTTGCATGGAAATGAAGGGGTACATGTGCCAAAAAATTTGTTTGATCATATCATCTTTCCTGCTTATCTTGGAGAAATTTTTAGTTGTGACGGGAACACAGATGGTACACCACGTGTTTTTATCCAAGTAGTGGAAATTTTAAAATTTTAGTTATGAACCTTTTAACACACATAACTCACCATTTATATAAGGACACATGGTGTACCACTTTGTATGATGATTACATTAAAAAATCTTTTCTCATCTTGGTTTTGTTGATTGTGTTTCAATCACATGATGGCACTTGATCATAACGAAGAGAAGGGCAATGTAAAAATAGGGGACAATGATTGTCTGCTCTTCACTTCCGGTGCCCTTTTGTTTATGTGGTCATGGTTAATCTACGTCAATATTTTATATTACTATTCATTTTTGTCTTATTATATTTATAAAAAAAATAATATAAAATATTGACGTGACTTAACCGGGATCACACAAAACAGAAGGGCATCGGAAGTGGAGGACAGACAATCCTTGCCCAAATATAAGCCCCCACTTTTGCTTTGTCGGGTAGACTGAAAAAAATGGAAGAGAAATGGGGACTCTCGGTCTTTATGAATTTTTTGTCATTTTATAATTTAACTGTCAATTATGTCAAAAACAAGAAATGACATAAAAACAAGAAATGACATAAGTTTATAAAAAGTTTTATTTTAAGAGTCTCCCGACTCTACTCAGCATTTCTCATGAAATGGAGATGTGGGCCATGGCTAATGGATACAAGTATATTATTACGTGTTGCCCCGACTCTACTCAGCATTTCTCATGAAATGGAGATGTGGGCCATGGCTAATGGATACAAGTATATTATTACGTGTTGCCCCGACTCTACTCAGCATTTCTCATGAAATGGAGATGTGGGCCATGGCTAATGGATACAAGTATATTATTACGTGTTGCACTGTCAACCGTACACGTGGAAGCTGAGTTTAGTCGAATGTTGTTGCCGGGGTATCATCGCTCTTGTAGTTGATAGGATTGCTATCGTTTGAGTGGATTTTGGGGCCAAAAGATACACTGTTTGTTTCTCACTTAATTCCATCAACACCAGTGTCCGCACCTATTTTCGGTTTTTCAAACCCAAAAGGTCAAGTATGATTATTTAGAGGCCTTATATATAGATATATATATATATATATATGAGATAGGATGAAGAGACAAATTTTTTTACAAATTTTTTTACACTTCTTTTGAGCCTTTCAATTAAAGCTATTTTAATGGTTAAGATTGTATTGGTTTATTTACTAGTTCAATTTGTAGTATGAAAGGAATTAATTTCATTAATTGTGAAAAATTATTATTAGTGTTTCTCTCTCCTTTGTATATCTTAAAAGATTTAACGTCATTAAATCTTATACATTCAGAAGTAAAGTATATAGAATTTACTTTGACCAACTGGTTTGCAAGCGGCGGCTTCCTTCGAAAAAAACAAAGTATGAGCATTGTTGATCTAAATAGAGGTGAAGGTCATTAGTTTGATTTGGAGCATTTTGGTGTTGTTTGGGTGGTGGTGCCTGTAATTCCTCCTTTTCACCCCAATTCCAAAACACATTTTAAAATAAAAAATTATTTTTGGTGTTTGTAATCCAAAATTTGATCTTTTATTTATCCTCAAATGTCTAAAGATTAGAAAAGAAAATAAGATATGTGACTACAAGAACTCCATGAATCATACAAGTTGAATCCCATGTCATTTGGACTTTCTTCCTATTTCTTCCTTCTTCTCCACACCATCAGAATGACTAGGTAGGAATAAACCGTTTTTATTTTCGAATTTGAAGAGATGAGAAGAGAGAGAAATCAAAATATTATCATAATAATTATCATTATTGCAGAAGTATATTTGTATAATTTCCTTTCTTATTTCAAAATAGTTAATAGACCAATGCAATTCTAACCGTTAAAATGGGTTTGATCTAAGGGTTTAAATGGAGTGTAAAAGTATTTGTCAAAATACGTGTCCCTTGATCCTATCCACATATATATATATATATATATATATACACATATATATGCAGTGGCGGAGTTAGAATTTTCAAATAATAAGATCATGATTTCAAACAAAAAAAACCTCATTGGAACATTTCGTTGAGCACTTGGTAGAAACATGTTGATCCTGCCCATATTTGGTGAAGGCTTATGCCAACATATATCAACAACTATTATGATATGTAGAGGCTTGTAAATGGTGTCTATAGAAAAATGTGAGTATTATTGAAGACTGCCAAGGCTTGTCAACTGAGACATTTCATCGAGCATCTGGTGTGAACAAGAGAATCACACTTAAGAAGAGAGGAAACAAAGACAAGGGAAATTTAAGAAACTAACCAAAATTTGAACCCACATAGAATTATAGCCACATTTTAAGTTTATGAAAATTATATCCAAAAATTAATGTAAAAGTACTAATATACCTACGAGGTTGTCTCCTCCTCCTGCAAAGCTTCAAACTTTTAGCTCCTCTATAAGGAGCTAAGATCTCCAGACCAACACAACATATAGGGTTTCCACTTCAATTTTTTTCTTTAATTTTTCTGATTTTTGTTGTGTTTGATTTTCTAAACAGAGAGTAGATTTCGACCTCTTTCATCATTACTCTGAAACCGTTGTTCCCATTGGCCGGGCAAGCCATGGTACACCACCTCATTTCAGCTTGTAAAAAGATTGCTATTTGGTTTCTGGCTTTTAACTTTTAGCTTTTGGATTTCAGCTTTTCAATCTTTAACTAAAATCCAATCAAAGAATTTGGATTTCAAATTCAATTGCGAGATTTGAATGCTTGATTTTATGTTACATATTCACAATTTAGCTCAAATCTATTTGGTTGGATTATATGAAGAGAAAGAATTCGCACTTTATGTGTCGTTCATTTCCAAGTTTTTAGATTAGTTATGGGAAAGTTTTAGTAATTAAGGCTATAATAGTATTCTTATATTAACTTTTAGTTATAATTATTTTAATTTAAAATGACGGTTATATAAATTCTATATGGAATCCAAATTGTGGTTATTTTTTCGAAATTTCCCCTTTCTTCTTCGCCATTGTTGTTCATGAAATGGTAAAAAGGGTGAGTGAAGAGATTGATGGGGAAGCCAGTGAATCCATGGATGGGAATGCAGAAGAAGAAATGGTCCTTGCTGGTTCTGGCACTCTTCTCTCTCCACCGCCATAGTTTTCTTCATAAGAGCTGCGTTCGATTAATGCAGCACGAACAGTGGCATTCGTTTCGGTGATGGAAGTGACAGTACACCTGACGTAGTCCACTCCGCGGCTGGTCGAGCAGCCGGGAGCGGCGGACCAAACCCTCTGGATATCATGAAGTCAAAGCTGGTTCTCTTCGTCTCTCACGAGCTCCCCCTTTCCGGTAAACATCTATAATTTTCTCGGAAAATGGGAAAGCAAAGGGAAAAAATGGAAAACGCCTATTTATTTTATTTTATTTTATCTTCCCTCTTTTTTGAACTGTTAAAAAAAAAGGGAACAGGATCCCATTGTTGCTGATGGAGCTGGCGTTCTTGCTGAGACGAGTGGGGGCGGAGAACTTTTTGGATAACGAGCCAGAAACTGGAGGACGATGACGGGGTGGTTTACA